CCTTCTGGCTAGCTGCTGGACCAGCTGCACCACTTGCGTCAGTACTCTCCTATCGTACCAACCGAGTTGAAGTAAACCGTCGACCGTTGGGGACCCCATCCCCTCCCCAACATTCAGCATACGGTCCCAGCCGAAACGCCAAAAGGGCTGGTTTGCTTACCTCCGTACTTTCGGGCAGGAGTTTCTCAAATGAATGGTTTTATAAGAATTTTAGAACACTTCAAATCCTAGGAAGTCTTAGTGTTGAATCTCAGTCACAATGAGTTGTCTTCTGGATGGTAAACCGGTAGTGGTGCAAGTTCCCCATTGCAAAGTGATGTAGTAAGACTATCTCCGATGAAAAATGACCTAGATTTCAAAAATGGTAAATGGTGGCCACTCAAAAAGTAGGTCTGAATTCGTTGAAGGAAGTGGTGGAATAGAGTGAAGGAATTGTAAGCTTGCATGAACCTTGGAACCGCACTTGAAAAACGCAGGGGCGATATGGTGCCTTGGTCATCAGTGGTATCGATATCTCGAATCAATCGAAAAAAAAAAACAAACCCCGCTGAGCAGTTCGTCAAAGTACGACGACAGCGCAGCTTCTGTGATTCGGTCGCGCATCGGCTGAGCGTTACGTTCCTAAAATAGACACTTTCGACTCGGGCAAAAGTAGAGCTCTTAGTGGAAGACCACAATCGCCAGAAAGCTTTGGATGACTCGTATTAGTGAAATTAGAATTTCGTTGATTACTTTCTGATGTGGCGCTTGTTTAGCCGAGCATAAGCTTCGCAAGCTTATGGTTAGCTTATGATTCAAAAAGACTGCGATGTGCATTTAGTCGCCTGTTCAAAGACGCATTCCGCATATGAATGAAGGTGGGTTGTTGCGTTCAAAAATGAAGGCACCCTCTGTTTCCGAAAACCAGATGCGCGTCGAGTGCAGACCACACACCACAAGTGACGACGGCCTCCACAAAATGTAATGTTTTCTGCCAATGAAATGATTTGTTGTTGCAGTTGTATTCTATCAGTTGTCACTAATTACAACTATCATTTACCAAAATCAGCTATCACTATGAACCACTCTAACCAGATTTACTTGGAGGCCGTCGTCACTTGTGGTGTGTGGTCTGCACTCGACGCGCATCTGGTTTTTGGAAGCAGAGGTAGATGTGGCATTTCAGGTTGATAGGTAATGAAAGAGAGCAAACAGAGCTGCTAAGAAGTCCTAAAACCGCATTGTCCCGATTGTGTGGGCGGTGCTGTCCTCACCGAAGGCGCCAATCTCATTGGTCACCACCGGTTCTTCACTGCATTCCTCTGCATCAAGAAGAGGGTCAATAGACTGGCTGGCATGGCCCATATGATGAGTCAACGCAATTTCACGAGTTGTTAGCAGAACTGTTGCTCTTTTTGATACTAATCGGCGCAAAATACCTCATCCACTCCTTCGGACCCAATTACCCACATCTATTCTTCGCGAAAGTGCCTTCAAAAACACGCCTTTATAGCCTTATCGTTACTCGCCGCAAGACCACCGACTTTCATGGCCTGTTTAGTCCAGACCTTAAACTCCCTTACCTGTTGCAATCGTTGAGCTTGCTGGAGCAGATCCGTGTACAACGGCAAGGAATCCGGTGACGACGACAGAACTGACGCCAGAAGAGCGTCCATGGTAAGCGACGATGTGGGTGCTGGCTGGCGTGAGTGTAGCTGAAAAAGAAGAATGAAGTCCTAGTGGGCATTAGCAGCACGGGGACAACTGCAATTCAATGAACGACGGCTCACCTCCTGCTCGATCGCTGACCTCGCATACGATAGCTGTTGCTCTGTGAGAAGCACAGCAAGCTGAGGATTGAGCGCTGTCGCCTGAAAATCAGAGTTTGTAGTGCTATCGTCGGAGGGTAAAGTGGGTAAAGTGAACTTCGGCGTCACAAATAGCTCTTACCTGGATGTAAGTGCCATCAAACTCTTCATGATTGACGTTCAATAATAGACGCAAGTCGTTCAGTAACCACCTCTTTCAAATGACCTGCCAGTGAGCCAAGATCTAACGAATCCTGGAAATTCGGTGCTCAAGAATATTATGGTAGCGGAGATTGTGTGCGTTTACGAACCTTCCTCAAGTGCATGAGTAATTTGTTTGATGGCCGGCACCACACCGTCCACCGTCGGACATTCGCCTTCGATCAGTCCATTACCGTATTGACGAAACAGTGCCGATGCATTGCAAATGCCACGTAATTGATTCCTTAAATGGCAACGTAAAGACAGCATCAACAATAACACATAGTGTTTTACTTTTTTGATCATTACCGAGATTTTTGCTTAACTTCTCAAAAATTCACACTATGTGTGTAGCCCGTGTGAGTTCCGCACACCTTAAAGCAACAACCGCAACACAAGTCCTGTCGATGAATCTGTTTAGTGGGTGAGATAGAGTAGCCTACGGGTATCACAGTGAGCCCTTGTCGCAGCTCGAAAGTGCGCGACAATGGCGCCAGGGCATTACAAAGTGGACTTATGGCACTAATCTTTACTTGTGTACGAGTTACGTGGACCGATGCAACTCATTCGGCCCCGCCACCTCCTTATTTTGGAAAGAAAAGAAGGAATTCTTGTAATGGCGCCATCGGCGATTTGCTTTGGTTCTGTTTTCATTTTTTGTCAACTCGTCATCTACAACTCCATTATCGACCGCCTTGACTCCACAAATTTGATCTGGGTATGTTGCTTTAACCCAAACTTTGATGGTATATTTACCCTAGCCTATCAGTGTTCTTATGTATAATGCAATGAGCCTGTTAGCCGACAGCGGCAGGTGAAAGTCTCAGCAGAAATTGCGAAATTGAAATTGTAGACGGTGCTTCTAATTCAGTCATTTGAAATTTGGCAAAAATCAGAGCCCCCTTGCTTGGACACCATTCAAGATAAATGGGCACCTATCATCCTAAACATCCAAGCTTCACAGGTGAATTTGTACGCTTGCCATTAGAACAAAGGGATTCCTTCATCTACGATCTACCTATCTCACCATAGTAAAGGGAGCTCAATCTGCCTTTTTCGGAATATTGCTGAGACATCTCTTGGTGCCAGAATCCTCACATATGTAAATTTCTACAGGCTCGCCATTCGTTCTGATCAGATGAACTCTGGATGAATTAGGGCAAAGAAAAATTGTTAAATGTCATACTCGTGGCCCGTCACCTTAAAAGCGTGGCACGTTCAACGAAAGCCTCCAAACTAATCATTTTAAGTGAAAGATTAGCCGTAAAATTCCACTTAGGCTCGCACTGTTAACGCGTGCCTCCCAGCCTAAAGGTTAAGCTCAACTCAAACTTGTTTGTGAAGATGAAGGGATTTGCGAAGGATTCTTCGGAGAACTATGCATCAGCGTGCCACCTGACCTTAACGAGTTTTGCCCCGCAGAAATTTTGATAATTTTCTTGGGAGTCAGTTTTGAACTCGAACTTGACATCTTGCTGTAGAAGAGAACTCTCATAATGCAGACAGCCACTGAAACATCAGTAGAGGATCGATTCAAAAGAATCATTAAGTTCACTAGAGAGCCAAAAATATATTATCTTTACGATAATGATTGCGCACGGTTAATATGTCTCGATTTGTTGGGGTCCGAAGCAGACAAAGGTCGCTTAACAATGCGGACTGCCTATGGGGAGTTTTTAGAAATGTCCACGATCAACTCAAAGGCAGCTGCCTGTTCACCACGATAAGTGCTTCCCCTAAGCGATTCAAGGCTTTGCTCAAAATCGTGGAAATTGTTCCTTATTGGACGCGACGGGAATGGACCTTATCCGTTGAACTTAGAATTTTTGAAGGTTCGATAAATGCGTCCTGTACACATAGTATTCATTAGAGAGCTTTTGAACTCATTATCTAAATCACTGGTTTTTTCCAGCTTTCGTATTTTGCACTGCCTTAGGCTCTTTGCTTTCCAATCTCAGGTAAGGAGTAAGAGTCTCAGAATCGGGAATTCGCCGCAATTTCACGTCCCTTATTTGCATATTTCTCCAAATTTACTCCCCAAGGTGATGCGACGGTTTATAATGTAACACAGGTATAATGCGGACGGATGAGTAGGAGGTATATCTAGGATGTAATCATTCTAAGTAACTTTAAGCCCCGACTGCGGTCATAAGCCACATATCGCAGGTAAATCATGTGAGATTAGCTGCGAATATATCCCTCGTAAAAAAAATTTGAAATCGAAAATACCCGTCATATTATTACCTCATTGTTTACCTCCACAATTTGAAAATGGTAATCCTTTAAGTTTTCATTTCATCACACTATTTTAGATAAGCCGTGCCTGCGCCTACACTTCAGAAGCGCAAATGCGATAGCAAGGTATCACACATCAAGACACCAGTTAGAGCTGCATTCCGAGGTCAATGAAAAATCGGGCTACCGATGCGGTTGGAGATTGGGTAAGTAGGCATCAACGAGGAAAAGTATCCTCTATTTCGGAAAACGGGAAGAGCGTCGAGTGCAGACTACACACCACAAGTGACGACGGCCAAGAAAAAAGAAAGAAAAAGCCATTTTTTCTTGGCCGTCGTCACTTGTGGTGTGTGGTCTGCACTCGACGCTCTTCTCGTTTTCCGAAATAGAGGATACTTTTCCTCGTTGATGCCTACTTACCCAATCTCCAACCGCATCGGTAGCCCGATTTTTCATTGACCTCGGAATGCAGCTCTAACTGGTGTCTTGATGTGTGATACCTTGCTATCGCATTTGCGCTTCTGAAGTGTAGGCGCAGGCACGGCTTATCTAAAATAGTGTGATGAAATGAAAACTTAAAGGATTACCATTTTCAAATTGTGGAGGTAAACAATGAGGTGATAATATGACGGGTATTTTCGATTTCAAA